CCTCTCGACAGCCTTCTCGTGGTTGTCGACGCTCTGCTGGAGGTTCTTGACATGGTCTCGGTCGGTCTCGACTTCGCGCTTGAGCTTGTCTATCTGCATTTGGTCTCCGTGGGTCCGCTTCGTAACGTCGCTGCGTAGCCGGCCGTATTCTTGGAGGTCCTGCTCGGAAAGCTCGCGACCCTGGTTCTGGGCAACCGCCTTGAAGTCATCCTCCCACTTCTTCTCGGCCTTTTGGACCAGATCGAGGTCCTTCTGGCACTTCTCTACTGCTTTCTTCTCAGCGTCGCGCTTCTTCCGGAGCTCCTCGAGCCTGCTTTCGTACTTTCGGCGGGTCTCGTTGGAAAGGCGGATCTTCTCCTCGATGGGCGCGAGCTCGTTGGAGGCGTCCTCGATCTCCTTCTCCTTGGCCTTGGTGTTCCGGTCAGTCTTGGTCAGATCTCGCCTGATCTTAGCCTCGGCCTGCCTCTCCGCCTCGTGGCGCTGGTGGTACTTCTCGACGCTGCGCTTGTGTTCCTTGAGCTCTTCCTGGTGGCTGGCGATCTTGTTCCGCGCTTTCTCCATAATCTGCTGGTCCAGGTAGAGCTTCCACAGGTTCTTTGTGACAACAGCTTCGTCGCGCTCGGCGAGCTTCTTCTCGTATTCGTCGGCTTCGGCCTTTTGCTCCTGATATGTCTTGAGCTCTCCGTTGATGCCGCGACGCTCGTGCAGATGTTTCGCGTTGTCTTCGGTGGCGTTTTCGGACTCTTCCTTGAGGCGGTCGTATTCGGCCTTTTGCTCCAGACTGCCAGAGATGCGCTCGACCTGTAGTGTCAGCTGCTCGGGCGCGGTCGTCGCCAGCTTCTCCACGTCTCCCTGGAAGACGAGGAAATTCCGCGCTTTGACCAAGATGCTGTGCTCCTCCAGCGCCTCGCCGTACTGCTTCTGGGTGACGATGCGGTTGTTGATTCGGTACTCGCTAGAGCCGGAGCTGGTGATGGCGCGCTGCCATTCGTGCGTCTGCTCAGCGTCGTCTTCGAAGACGGCCTTGACCCAGGCGTTCTGGGGGTCGTTGCGCTGTGAGCTGGTTTGCGAGTCGCCATTGTCCTGTGTGTCGCCATTGGACTGGCCGTTCGCGTCGCCGTTCGCATCGCCGTCGGCTTCGGTTACGGTGCCGTCGGCGTTGATTCTCGCTTCCTGGATGATCCTGCCGCGGTAGACCATGTCCTTCAACTTCTCGGAGCGCAGATGGGACGACCGGACTCCCAGGACGAAGGAGATGGCGTCCATGCTGTTCGACTTGCCCGAACCATTGGGGCCGATGATGGAGGTGAAGTACGAGTCGCCGAAGAGGAGCGTGTGGCGTCCGCGGTACGACTTGAAGTCTGCGCATGTTTAGTCTGTGGATGCAAGCAATTGCGCGTCGGGGGGCCTACTGTAGATCTCGAGCCGCACGAGCTTTCCCATGATGGCGGTGGAGATGCGCGACACCTAGCCTGGTGAGTGCGCGGTGGGAGGGTCGTGTTGGGCGGGTTTGGAGTCGCGGGGTGGGCTGCCCGTGATAATCGTCGTGTTGTCGCGCGTAGTCGCGTTGACGGCCAAAGCGCGCTAGTGGCTCGACGTGCATGGTGGCCCGCAGTGACGAAAGCGTGGCCGCACGCAGGGGAGCTCGACACCGGCCCTGCTTGCCTACCTACATTTTCCTATATTCGCTGCAGTCTCGGGGAACCTGCGCCGTCTTTCTGAACCCTCTATCCGCCTCGCCTCCCCTCGTGACCTCTCCCACCTCGCATGCCACGGGTGCCAGCGATGACGTTGTGAAGCTTGCCAATCACCAGCTTGCATTCACCCACGACCTCTCCCCAGAAGCCCCGACATTCTGAGAGGAGCACGATTCTCGACCCCCGCACATCACTCGCCTTGTCATGAGAGCATAGGGTCTGACTAGATCTGATCTAAGCCGCCCCTTCCCACTGTACGCTCTCTTCTTGATATACCGCCTCTGCTCCGACCATGGACCGGGGGCACTCGCAGCGATATACAGCAGCTAACAGGCATGCCGGCTGCAGGTTCCCCCCCGCGTCCCTTCAAGAGACCCCTCCACCGCCGAACCCCCTCTAGCCTCGAAATCGTCCAAGAGGAACTGCCCACCATGGCGACCCCCGACGATGCAGATATAGGCGGTATCCCCAAATCCAGGTCGGAACCGCAGCTGGGTGTCTCTGAGCTTTCGGCCCGTCCGACTCCAGGCGACTCTACGCTGCTGGATGAGCCTGTATCCTCCGCAAACCAACCACTGTCCACACCTGGTCTCTCACGCTCTGCCTCTTTCTCCAACAGCTCCTACCACGATGACTCCGACGTCGAAGATGCCGCCTTCTTCCCGCCCGTCGAAAAGCTCACCATGTTCGACTTTGTCGAGAACCTCGCCCTGTCGCAGCGTATCGAGAAGATCCAGAGCTCCATCGCCTCCCAGACGGAGAAGATCAAGAACCAAGCGAAGAACCGGGGCATCACAAAAGACCGCGTTGTGGAAGAATGGCGGCGCAGAGTGCCGTCGGAAGCAGAGCAGCTTGAGAAGTACAAGAGACGCATGCGCCATTCCGTCGATCGCCTGAACCGCCGCTGGAACGAGTCGCTCACCGTCACTGCGCGCGAAAAGGCCTCCTTCATCGCCGCCGTCATGAACATCTTCGTCTCTGGATACCTCGTGGGATGCCACCCCGACCTGTTCCCACATTGGTACACGGCTCAGTTGCTCTACTTTATGCCCATCCGCTTCATGACCTACCACAAGAAGGGCTACCACTACTTCCTGGCCGATCTGTGCTACTTCGTCAACATCCTACTGGTTCTGAGTGTATGGGTCTTCCCGCAGTCTAAGCGCCTGTTCATCGCGACATACTGCCTCTGCATGGGAAACAACGCCGTCGCCATTGTCATGTGGCGTAACTCGCTAGTCTTCCACAGCATGGACAAAGTTGTCAGGTAAGGAGCGCATTCCTCTAACATTAACCACCTACTGATCTGCCTAGTCTCTTCATCCACATCATGCCCTGCGTCACGCTGCACTGCCTCGTTCACTTGCTACCCCCGGAATACCAGCAAGAGAAATATCCCGCCATCTACGACATCCGCCACTCCGACCCAACCTCGCCTCACCACTACAACCTACTGCAAATGATGGTCTGGGCCACTTGTCCATATGCTGTCTGGCAGGTCGCCTACCACCTGCTCATCACAGTACGTCGCCGCGATAAGATTGCCGCCGGCCGACCTACTAGCTTCACATGGTTGCGCAAGTCGTACGCCAAAACCTGGATCGGCAAGATAGTCCTCTCGCTGCCCGACTTCATGCAAGAGCCTGCCTTCATGTTCATCCAATACAGCTATGCTGTCGTCACCATGCTACCCTGCCCCATCTGGTTTTGGTACCGCTGGCCGAGTGGTTTGTTCCTCACTGTTGTATTCATCTGGAGTGTCTACAACGGCGCAACCTTTTACATCGACGTCTTCGGCAACCGCTTCCAGAAGGAGCTGGAACAACTGAAGAAGGACATGGCAAAGTGGCAGGCGTCACCAGAAGGCGGTTTCACGCCCTTTACGCCAATGGAAGGAGGCAACGAGAAGCAATTAGGTTACATCCCTCCTCTCGAAGGCAGCACAAGCGTCAAGCCAGTGGACGGAGATACAAGAGAGAGGAAGTAGCTTGCTAACAAGCCTTTTCATTTACAGATTCACGACGACCATGTAACCGCGCAACTCCTGTTTTACGTACTGTCTACACGATTCCAGAATGAGACGATCTAGGCGTTTGATTTGCTCCAAGTAGCTTGCTTTCCGTACTTGCGTTTGAGGGCTGCATCTGCGCGCGCGTTTGATTTGTTGCATTGCCTAGACTGGTTGGTTGGTTGATATACCCCCTTTCCTTCGCTAAGTCTTGTCACTCTTCGTTATAGCTATACTTAATGCTCAAGCTTCTATCAATATTTCAGTCTGTTATTTCACAACATCTTTATATACGCTACTACCGTCCTTCTTTGTACCAAACATATACTAACAACACAGCATCCATTTGGCTATCTATACAGGATTATTGTATCTTGTCCCATTAAACCAGAATATCTCGTTCTTGACGGCCTAGGTATTCTATTCGTCTCGCCAGCAATGGTGTCCCTACTCGAGAGCTCGATCCCTTCATACGCCTTTAGTCTTTGAGATACGTACAAAGACCGTTGCAATGGTCAAAGTCGCAATGGTGGTACTCTTCCGCAGCGGGTGGAGGCGAAGGACGAGGCTCTTGCTCTTCACCCCTCGTCTCACCACGGTGTCCACGCTGGTCTTCAAGTCGCCGAACTAGAGCTTGGAACGCATTCCAGACCTCTTCTCGTCCCCGTCTCTCTACCCGTCTCTCTACATCACTGGTCAATCCGAGTGCGTGCCGCCGCATGGTTCGCATAGTGTATTGGAATTCTTCTCGGATTTCTCGCGCGTGTTGGGTTGCTGCTATGGCTGCTGCGGTCGCGACTATGGCCTGTTCTGCTGCTTGGTCTGCAAGTTGTGCTTGAGCCTGAGCATACGCATAAGCTTGAGCCGCTATCGCAGCTTGTGCTTGAGCGTTCCGCGCAGCTTGTGCTTGGGCATGTGTCGCGGTGTGGGCTTCGGCTTCGGCTTCTCGTGTCTGTCTCTTCGCAATAGTGGCGTTGATGGTGTTGGTGGTGGCGTCCTCGATGGAGGCGTGGAGGCGAGATGGTGACGGCATTTCTGGCGTGTTGGTGTCTTGCTTTGGGTGGGTGGATGTTTTTGGGTTGCGGTCCGAGAACACCTGCCACAGGAAGGAATTTCCATTATTTTATCTACTCGAGGAGTCGGAGATGCTGGTCACTATTTGAAGTCTGCCGTTGCGGAAGTGGCTGGTCTTTCTTTCACAGTACACGTTCCCGCCTTCGAAACATTGGTTCACCAAACTTCCACTCGTATCCCAACGTATTTCACCTCCTCACGCTCGACCTCGGACCCCCAATCTAGTGAAAGTACTTCCAAGTCACACCCCTCGTTACCGCCCACCCCTGATCCAGCGCCTTCACAACTCCCTCACCCAACGGCCCCTTCTCAAAGTCGTTGAGATTCATCTCCAACTGCTCCTTACTACTCGCCCCAATGATAACCTTGTCTCCAAACTCTTTCTTCAGCTGACTATGATGCATCATCCACCGAAGCGCCGTTTCACTCTCCGTCTGCCCTTTAGGTAATTCAGACCGCAGGCTCTCGATCGCAGTAAAGAACTCGTCGTTCCAGTAGCGCGCGCGGTACATCTTGCCTTGCATGCCTGTGAAACATTGATGTCAGCTCTAAATCACCCTTCATCCTTGTAGGAGATAGATTATTGCAAGGTATCGACTTACGGTTGGCATCAAATCGACTTCCAGCCTCCAGAGCTTCATTCTGCGTCTCGCGCTTGTACCGTGAGGTCAGCCACCCCCCTGCCAATGGATTGAATGCGTAGAACGACATGTTGTATTTGCGCAGACAAGGGAGCAGTTCGTGTTCGATGCTGCGGTGGAGTGCGTTGTATACGCCTTGGTATACGCTCGGTAACTGGTATCCGTTTGCCTTGCAAATCTCGCAGATTGCTGCGACTATGGTTGACTGTTAGTATGGTATCCAAAATGAAAAAAAGGGGCGAGAGTTGAAGGGGTCTGATGAACAGGACTGAACATACCCTCCCAAGCCATGAAATTACTAACACCCCACCTCTTAAACTTCTTCCCTCCTCCTTCCTCAAACAGCTCATGCACCGCCCTCGCCGTCTCCTCAAGCGGCACACTCCGATCCGGCGCATGCAAATACCACAAATCCACGCCTTCGGCTCCAAGCGCAGTGAGACTCTCCTCCAAACTCTTGCCCATATCCTCCTTCCTAGAGTGAGTAGGCGTACGGCCGAAAAGCCCATGGACATTGGGGAAGAACTTCGTGTCCATCACTAGACCGCGCTTCTGCCAAGAGAGTTGGGCGAGGTATTCTTCTGATGTGCCGTCCTGGCTTTGTTAGTTCGGTGGGGAGAGGAAGGCGAGAGGGAATGGGTGTGCGTACGCCATAGAAACGACTCGTGTCGACCTCGTTATGGCCGTAGGATTGAAAGGTATCGAGGATAGCTGCGCAGTCGTTTATATCCGAGGTGCGGACTTGTTCTTCGCCTTCGCGGCCGAAGGTCATGCAGCCGAAGACGATGTCGAGGGGGGTTTTGGATGGCATGGTTGGTAAGATGGTCAAATATTCCATTGTGACGATCTCGATTCTGGGTACATGGATATTTTGGATGTTTGGGCTACTTATACTTCTGGCAACGACATCATTACACATCTTCCATGTGGAGCTGTGGAGATAAGTGGTCATGATATGCAGGGTCTTGGCGGAGTTTGACGGAGTTAACGCGGGTTACAACTCGGGATTGGATGTAAGACTATACGATGTCGATCCTACGCCTTGTTTGCAGGACAATTTCAACGCTTGATGATAGTTAACGTAGATGTAGGGCTTACTTGACATTTTGGGACGGAATTAGTGTTGGGTGATCGACCGCGCGTTGAGGTCAAAGGTATATTTTCGTGAACATGCTGACAAAAGGTTGAGATGGAGAAGAGCTAGGCATGTGGTAGTCGTTCACTCGTGAATATTAGATGTGATATTGGTAAAGCTACACCAGCCATCAGGACACCAGTCACGGCCCACTCTTCGCTCTCCACCCCTCCCGTTACAAAGCTTGTTCCAAAGCTTACCGCGTCCCAGCATTGGTAGGATACTGATACGTAACCGGCTCACCCTTGATATCATTCTCCTCCCTCCACTGTAGCCGATCAATCTCACTGACGCCAGGTCCCCTATAAACACTCCCATAAAGCCCACTCGCCCAGTCCTTCCCAGGCCCCTCCTTCGTCGCCTTCGTCGCCTTACGACTATACCACTTTCCATACGCCAGCAGATAATACAACCTAAAGCTCAAGAAAGCAAACTTGTCGCGCTCAAGATCAGCAGGGTACTGTGCACCGAGATCAACAGCGGCAGCGATACCGCTCATGACAGCGACTTCGTGGGCGTTGATGAGCGTCCATGCTGCTGCGAAGCGAGTGTGTTTTCGTCCTTGGAGTAGCCACATCCATGGTACTACGAAGACGTAATGGGTCCAGGAATGGCAGAGCTGGTGCCACCAATCCTTGCGTATGATCTTGTCCTTGTTGATCTCGTCAATGCTCCATAGATGGCCGTCGCGCGCCTTGTTCAAGTAGATTGTTTGGAAAATGTGCTTGTCAAAGGGGACGTCCGGTGGGAATTGACTTTGGTAGTTTGTGCAGTCGAAGCACATTTCTAGTTTTGATCGGTCTTGCGGGTACATCTTGATGTAGTACATGGGCTTGAAGTTCTTCTCGGCGTATTGGTTGCGGGCTGTTTGGTCGGTGCCGGAAAGCTCTTTGGCGGACTTTTCTGGGTCGTAAAAGTTTTCGTAGTGCTTGTGCATGTAGTCGCTGTCCCAGTGGGTGACGGTGATGTCGTCGGAGAATTTGGCGGAGCCGAGGACTTTCTTCTCGCGGAAGGAGGCGGTGGGTTCTAGGATACGCTTTGCCGTGTCGGCAAGTACGCAGAGAATGATTTCGTCATAGTGCTCTTCCTTTTCTTGCGCGTCCGCATCGGCGTTGTGCTCGTCGTCGTAGGGTACATGGACACTGTTGGGATTGTGCGAATCAGGCATGGGCGTACGCTTGATCAACCTAACGGTAACACCGGTTTTGTCTCGCTTCACAACCCGAGTGATCTCCGTCGACAGCCTGACATTGACACCTCTCTTGAGTAGATCCTGCCTCCAGCGCTCGTAGAACTCGCTGAATTTGGGGAAAACGACCATAGGCGGGAGATTGCTAGCAATGCTTCGTTTGTCTACCGGATACCACATGCCGTACGTTGGACTAGTGCAGAGTCGTTCTAGGATGATGCTGGGTACATTTGGCGTCTCATTTCCAGTTCCCAGGAAAAGTGCAATCATGGGCATGGCGACAGTGTTGGTGAACTCTTCGGAAAACCAGAACATTTTGAAAAGAATCTTGATCGGGATCAATGCGAAGAAAATCTCGAACCAACGGACAATCTTGATCATGGTATGGAACCTGCGAATTTCCTTTTGATGGCGCGCAAGAAGCTCTGTGGGGAAGACGTTGGTCCAGAAGATGTCGTCTTTGCCGAAGGAAACTTGGAGGTTGACTGGATCTGCGTGGTGGCCTTGTCTCGCGAACATCGTCATGGTGTGGTGGAAGATGTAGCTTCCACCTTGAACACCCTGGTTCAGCCATTCGGCACCATGGCGCTCTTTGTCGACTCCAATGGAAAAAGCCTGGCCACCACAGTAATCTACTGCGTCGATGAGGGTAACATCGAATTTGTCAGGATGTTCGGAAAGATGGTGAGCACACGACATTCCTGCCTCAAATCAACAACGATGCATGTTAATACACGCGTTCAACATACCAGCGGCTCCAGCTCCCACAACCAGCACCTTCTTCTTTCCATCCTTGTTACCGCCTGCCATATTCGTGGTGGGCAGAATAGGCGTTCTGTCGGTTGAATGTGGCATCGAAGAAAAAGACTCAGCACTTATGCGACGCGCTGCAGGAGCGCAAGCTACTGCGGGCCTGTATTTGTCTGCAGCTGTCACGACATCAGCCTCGAACAAATGCGTCATGAAATCTCAAAGCGGCATGGTCCGATCTTGACTGGCTACGGCTATCGGTCGATCGTGCATCGCCAAGCGCTCACCAAACTTCAACACCACGCTAGATGATGATGTCATCCAAATTTGCGAATTAATTCATGACGGCAATATAGGTATCTTGGTGCAATTTCCCTGGTTCCCAACGCGTGATCTCGTGTCTACAGCGTGTGCATCCCCTTTAGTGCCCTGTCTGTCCAATCGTCCACCACGTCGCCTGTCTGATCGCCCGTGTTTTCAGAACGCGACGGAGGATCCATGATGGGGAATGACCCTGGATGTGTCGCCTGACTCAGATCGAAGAAGTCTAATCCCAAATCAGCCGTCGCGTCTGTATACCAATCATTCCCTATATCGAGTATGTCGGCATTATCCGTTCTTTCCTCGGCCGCCATGTCTACCGTCAAGTCCAGAGGCCCCTCCTGTGGCACATCCGGTACTGTTGGCGAATCGTTGTCCTGAGTAACACCCGTTATTGTGGCGAATTGCAGCGCAATCCGGCCAAGAGTCTTGTACGTAGGTGCGAGCTTCTGCATCCCGCGGACCTGGTCGAGCACAGTGCGCACTGTCGCTTTACGTTCGACGTCTCTCGGTGAATCGGTTTGGCCCTTGGGTCGTGCAAGAAAATCTGCGCATACGATCAGAACGGCGTGGAATACGAAGAAGAAGTCAAGCCAGGAGTAACCGATGATCTCGAATATACCCAGCTCGATGCCGATGGTGATGCATTGGAGGCTTTTGTGTACTGATTCAACACAGTCCTCCGCCAGGATTAGGGTTGTAGACCAGTCTTCTGAAATTGGGGGCGCCTTGTTCTCCAGGAAGCAGACGTTGCTCTCTACCTTTTGTATGAGAAAGTCTCGGGAGATGACACAACGCGTGTAGTAATAGTAGACGTGTAGCAATAATGTCATTGCTTTCAGATCCGGGTGCCCTGGCATGTCTTCTATTGACATGTGCTGAGGTATTTTTGCGAAGAAGTTGTCGCACTCCCGAAGTAGGGCCATGGCGACAGCGATGGTCGGGGACCGTTCCTCGGCAGAAGTTTTGTCGAAATAGGCACGTTGTCGAATGCGGTACGATGTGGACACTAGGTCGGAACAGAGATTCATGAACGCTGCGTTGATGCGCGTTTGCTCTAGCATTGGTGCGTCTGGGACTTTCATCGACATCTCTCGGTCGTCAATCACTGTTGGGCGGCCCAATATGCCGCACAGTGTCTTTTCGAATATGTAGAGCGACCACCAGACTTGTCGGCGCGTATTGCATTCGATGGGTTCGAATTGGACGTTCGTGCTGTCTCGATGCATTCCCATGGTAATGGCCTGATATGTGTTAGCAGAGCATGGGTGTCCTGTAAAGCAAATAACGTACCATACGTGCAGCAAGACCTATCAGTAACCACGAGCTGCTCTTCTGCCCGATATTATGGTGATGCATGTTGAGAAGAACGAGCGCTTGGACATTGTCCAGACGAGTCGATGTCAGAAGCGTCCGAAAGTAGGTTTTGGCGAAGGCGAGAAACTTGTGGCGAAGTACATTCATTTGGTCGACATCATTTGCTTTTGATTTCTGGCAGCCAAACGACAACACCAAGGCCAACGAAACTAGCCACCCCATATCCTTGCACTCTTCGAACAACTGCGTCTTCCGTGAGTACGTAGCCTCCAGCCGGATCTGAAACGTGGTTCTATTGAAAAGGGGAAAGTACACATGTATGTGATCGAAGTAGACTGCTACTAGAGCGTCGGTGATATGCTTTGCGGGTATCAGATCACCAATAGTATCTAGACGTGATGAGTGATCATGATGTTGCGACGGATCGTTTGATGCCTCCCACTCTGTCCTAGATCTCTTGCGGCTGCCATGGCTAGAACCTGGACGCTGACTGTAGGATGGTGGAGCGAATTCATCTTCAGACGGGTTCGTGCTGCTGCGTTTGAGAGCTGAGCCCGATCGGCTCGAGGGGTTTGAGGTGAATGATCGGAGGCCAGGAAAGTCGGCGCCTGATACGGCCTTCCATCGGGACGCGAGGGTGCGGATAGTCGATGCAAGTCGGAAACTACTCGACGGCCCGAAATAATGTGAGGCACCACGATTCGTACGAATGATCTCGTCAGTCTGGGAAGATACTTGTTGCGTTATAGGCTGACGAAGGCGTTCTTTGCTTGTGGACAAGGCAGTAGTGCGCCGAGCAGAGTGCAGGGGATACGTGGTAGTCTGCGAGCCCAAGTATGCAGATGGGACAACTGGCGATGGCTGCAATGAGTGTTGCTGTTGTTGTTGCTGTTCCAGCGAAGAAGTCTGTCTATCGCTACTGCTACTGCTGAAGATGTCTGCGGGAGTAAAGTCGTCGCTCGCGGGCATAGCAATGTTCCTGGTCGTGGCGATCTTGAACAGGGTCTCTGTGTCCTGAACATTCTCATCCGGAAAGAGGCCTTTGACTAGCGACTCAAGGGCTCTGTAGCGTAAGCTGAGGGTCTCCACACTGCCATAGACCCTCTGTTTACGTGGAAGCTTCGATTCACACACCACGCCATTTGCCTTGCAGTCCGCACATGGCACCTCGGCATTTTCGCGTATGCACCGTGCCCGTCGGATTTTGCAGCGGTCGCAGCTCACGAGGGCTCGCTTTCGTGATGACCCTGATTTGGCCGGGCGTTCGGCCATGGCGTCGACTTCGTCGTGAGCAAGATCGGAAAGTGTAGCGGGCGTATTGACGCGCTCGAGATTGTGGAGTTCCGAGATGCGAAGATCGTATGATCACGTCGTCGCGCCCGCTGACAGCAGACCGTGGCCCTCATGCCGCCGACCAGGCCATCGGAGTTGCTTCCGTACCAAAGTTAACGCGCGTCACAATAAGGTTTACTGAGCGCGACCCAACTGGAAGGATCTTCTTTCGTGCTTATTAGAACTATCCCCTCATGCGCTCATTATTTATGCCGTGGTCTTGCCCGACCTCACTGCGCTAGTCTAGATACACTGGAATCCCGTATACAACTGCAGCAGCCCCGTTCAGGTACTTCAGGTAGCAGGCCTTTCTCGCATCTCGCACTGCCTCGTCTAAGCCAACGCCTTTCTGCGGCACCCGACCCGTGTTCGAACGATCATCCACCAATTTGGCAGACTTCTTTCCCTTCTTTGCACTGTCTACGCTTCTTGCAATCTCTACTTCCTCGGCCAATTGCGCAACTCGACCCTTGCCCTTCGCCTTCTTCGCGGGCGTTTTCGCGGGCGTTTTGGATGGTGGCGTATCTTCCTGTGCCTCAGGCCATAGTCCCCATAGTTCGCCCGCTTTGACGGCAAAACGATCGCAATCCTTGTCAGTGACATCCCACAGCATGCCAAGTACTGCTGGTGCGCCCGCAGTAAGATATGCCGCAAGCATACCCGAAGGCTCGAAAATGCCGTTTTCAGTGAGATGTACAGACGAACAACCGAAGAGAAGAGTGGTCGCACAGCCAGGTTTTCTGTCCCCTTCATCTTGCTCGCCGGGATAGAGACGTCGCACTGATTTTGACTTGACGTACTGTGCACCGCTGCCGTGACCGAAATACAATACCAAATCCTTCTCACGCAGTGCATCTTCGAATTCCTTCTCGGACGGTGCGCGGTTGGCGATATGGTTCCAGGGGCCTGCAAGCTCGTCTAGATGCGGTTTGATGGTTTTCGAAGTATGGGACAAGTCTCCGGATGGATTCAGCATGCTTGTACCTCCCGTACTTGTGGCTATGTAATGTCCCGGAGCAGCGTCCTGCTGAGTTGTGGAGGACCGTGCGGAAAGTATTCTTTCGCGAAGGGCAGCAAGGGAAGGTAGTCGCGAGATTGAAAGCGGCTCCAGGCAAGGCAGCGACTCCCAGGGGAACGCATGCAAGTTGTTGTCTAAGATGAGTATCGTGTGACGAGAACCAGCGTCAAGCTTGTGGGACGCGCTGTGATAGGCGCGTAGTGCTTCATACGTCTCCACGACCATGGCATCGAAATCGAGCTCGTCATAGGCATTGCGCTCGCCGTTGAACTGGAGGATGTCCACAACGAAGTATATGAGATCCATGAGCGCTTCGTCCAAGTCAAGATCCTCATTGGTAGCGTCGCCCAGCCCAATGAACAACTCCAGTACCCGTGTATCCAAGACTGGCCGCTTTTGAGTGCTCTTCTTCTTACGGGAAGGCAGGTGCTCGTTGAGTATGTCTTCCAAAGCCTTTCGGAATTTAGCTAGGAGAGCTGGCTGACGCTCATGCTGAGAGAAGATGCCCTTGAAGCCACCCAGCCAGATATTTTCCATGTTGATAAGAAGCTCACGAAGTCGGGTGTCCAGAGCTTCGCGTTCGGCCCACCACTGGTGTCTTGCTTCCCTCGAGGCCATGTCCTTGGCAGATCGCGTACTGAAATCACTGAGCTCAATGATCTCATCGAAATCCCTCTTGCCGTCCTCAAACGAGAACTCTTCCTCGTCCATCTCGCGCGAAGCGTGGCGAGCCAACGGTAGGCGCAATACGAAAGGAGACAAGCCACGCTCAAACCGGGTGATGAATAGCTCATCGCGGGCCTCACTAAGTGCCAGAGATACAGCAGACCAAGTTTCCGGAATGATATCAACATACTCCTTCTGAAAGCTAGACACTGAGCTGAAGGCGAAATGCGATGAATCAGCGGCTGGCCATCGCAGGCAGTCATCGCGCGACAGTTGTTGCTTCTCTGCCTCTGTTGATTCTTGCACGAGGCGCAAGGCGTTGACTTTAGGGAGCTCTGAGTGTTGTCAGTATAATGTTTGCCATGTGCCGTGTCTCACATACCACTCATGTAGGCTGCGTATAATG